GCACCCGGCCAAAAAGAGACTTTTTAAAATTAATAAAATACAAATGTGGTTATTGAGCTCTTATGCATGTAGAACACAATGCAATGTGCCATTGAGGATAAAAGGTATCTAGAAAGTCATCTCTGTTTTCTTAGGACTTCCTGAAAACAGTCTGCCTTGGTAGAAAAAAAAATAATCTAGGTAATGGTTCATCAGAAAAATGTCAACCAAACTTTTGCCTTGTAGTTGTAACCAATTTAGCTTTGAAACTTGTAAACACAGCCATCACTAGTAGTGTGCCAGTCACATGTCAAGCTGAGATTCAAGGAGTCGGGTACCCCAGGGCTGGGTGACAAGGGAAGAGGCTGGGAGGCTGGTTGCAATTCTATCCAGGAGGCAGCAGAGAGCCAGCAGACTTTAAGACAGAGGAGCACCATGCTGCAATTTGCTCTTGCAGAAAATTACTTAGTATGAGGAGGATTGATGGGAACATGAGCAATCTTTGCTTGCATACCTTTAAAATATAATTAGCTTTTAAAATAAGGTTATTGGTTCTCAGCTTACCCCAAATCTACAGAGTTGTGAATTCCCACATCTTTTGCCAGACAGAACACAGGCAAAAATGGGGGTGTTAGATTAAACTTTAAACCATGCTGTGTTTAAAGGTGATTCTTCATAGCAAATTTAAAAACAAATTAGAATCATAAACATATCAGTACAGTATGCGTTTATTACTTTGCTTATACAAGTTACCATTCTTAATCCTTTGCTTCTTTGAGCCTTTGTGTGACCACTGCCCCCAACCAAGCCTGCTGCAGATCCTGAGCCCCAAAACCCACGGAGCCAACTCTGTGGCGCTTCTTTCTTCATCTTGCTGCCAAGCAAATTCCCTTAACAGAGCTCATCCCTGCTCAGTCATCCCTACCTGCTTTCTCTCTTCCACAAAATAAAAGAGGACAAGATAAAAAGATATAGCAGCATTCTGCCTATTTATATCATAACTCTGTGCCTGTTTTTACCAAACAAAAGATACTTTCATGCTTTCCCTACATCTGTGTTGTGATTTTTTTCCCCTCAACAGGGAACCACTCCTGACCTTTGCCTCATCCTGTGTGTATGAGTGTACATGTGTGTGAGTGTACATGTGTGTGAGACTCTGGAGCTGTAGTATTACAGCTGACATCAGGTTTCTATAGATTTCCATTAGGAACCCTTGAGCAACAGGCTTTAGGTAGAGGGCAGAGTGTTCTTTAGAATCACAGAATCCAAAGAGTAAACAGTAAGTAAACTAATTGCATTATACAGAAGACATCTTTCGACACACAGGGAATATGGCCGATGCTATTTTAGAATGTTATT